AGGTATTATGACCTCGTGAAATAGGCACTATTTAAAATTTTTACACAGCTGGTTTTGCCATTTCACCTTTTCCCCTTCGTGACAGTATAATAAAAAATGCACGTATTTTGTAGCGCTATTTTACACGAGAGCTCGTTGTAAAATGCAACGTTAGCGCTTTAGAGTCGCATCACCTGCCGGCTTTAACATATGCACACAGAAGGGAGAGAGATTATACAAAAAAGAAATAAATAAATGAAAACTTTCCAGCGGAAAGTTATTTGGTTGAAAAGCCGGCGTATTTCTGTGGAATTTCAAATTTGGGAACCGCATAAATCTGGATTATGAGCTTCAGCTCGAACATTGACTCAAAGGCTTCAACGTACAATTGCTCATTGGAAATAATTAAAGACCGCTAATTGATTGATCACTCGATCCAGTACGCGCGAAATGATCGTTATTGACGTGGAAATGATCGTAATGAATCGACTGCGGCAGTTGTGGGTGTAACCAAATGTCAGCAATGACGATCAGTCTATATCCGTACCCTTTAATGACGTGCAACGTCAAAATCGAACGGTAGTGAAAATCAACTGCGTGTTTTGGCTTGACCTAATTTCGCTGTGAGCGCAGCACGATGTAAACACGATGCCATAAAGTGCCAAAACGAGACACCTCCTGTGCAATTCGGGCGCAGGAAAGCGTCTTGCAAATTTAAGATCGATACGATGCATACTCGGTAATTTTGCCGTAAAGACGTCACAACTAAAGACATCGGAGAGAGTTATCTTTCGCTTAAACGTCCCCTCAGATTCGCGGCCGCACTCAAAAAAGTGGTTTTGCAACTACAGCAAAAATTTTCTGGGTGCGCAAAATTAACTGAGGTACATAAATGATTAGCAAATACTGTGATATCGCATATGTTTCGCATTTAATCAATCTAAGTGACAGAGACAGAATTTATATCTGAACTGTTTGTGAAATTTAGAAAGAATGTTTTTCTGTGGCGCCTATCCATGTTAAGGCCAATCATACTTGTTATAAAGTTTGGCTGTGGTATACAGAAAAAATTAGCGGCAAGAAACAAATGAATATATAATCCTCACGTCTAACATATTTGTATAACGCGCTCAATCTATCTAGCTCTTTTAAACAATTTCTCTCAATTTTTCGATGCTGCAGTTATAATTGGCAGTTATATTTCTCACAAAGATCGTTCTAGCTGTAGTATCGAAACTCATATTTATCCAATGCAGTGATTAACATTTGGCAATGGGACCTAAATTTTCTAGAAGATATTATTAGAATGTTGCTGCTATAAATTCTATATGTAACAGACAATATTCTAACAGATACAAAAAATAGCGATAAATTTTTGTTGTGACACCTAGAAATCAACCTATATCAGCAAGACATTTTTTTGAGTGCGTCGAAACAAGTTTGGCTTGAGACTCAATTGAATTAATTCATCTTCTTTCTATCTCGACGAAACAATTATATAAAATGTATACATTAAATTCGAAATAAATGTGTAGGACACTTTAAAAGAATTGAATTAGATATTTTAGAGACCTTTAAAAAAAGAAATTTAAAAGTATAATTAGCTAGATATAATTAATTAATATCACAGATTTCTATTGTATATTATATCTAAACTGCTGACAACGATGTGATAGGCAGCCATTTACAATTGGGCACAATATAAGCAGGCTGTCAATCGATACTTATTTTTGAGGAAAAAGCTGCAATATTTAATATAACTTTGATATTAAATATGTACAAAACTTTTATATTAATATTGTAGCTTTCCCTTCAAAAATAAGTATCGATTAACAGCCTGCTTATATTCTGCCCAATTGTAAATGGCTGCCCTGGCTTCACCTGTCACATCGCTGTTAGCAATCTAGTATTAATATATTAAATTTATCTCTTATAAAGAATACTAATTTTATTATTCTACTTAACTTAAAACAAGATACAACGATGAGAAAACAATATTGATAATTGAAAATATTTAAAATTTCATATACTGACGTTGACATAAAAGATTGATGTTACGGAACGTCGCATCTGATGCAGATCGATACGGTAGCAATTTTGCAAACAAATTCCGCGCTCAGGCACAAAATAATATCTCGTACATTAAAACCAGGTAGTTTACAAATAATCAATAAATGCTCAATTAATTATATATAAGCAATGCGAAATGTAAGCAATTTTAAAATCTCAATTCATTAGATTCTTGATTTCAATGTAAATACGACACAATTCGTAATTTATGTCTTGTCCGATATAATTATACGTTCACAGAGAAACAAATTTTGAAATTGCTTAAATTTTAAAAACACAAATTATGAGGAAAAATATATAATACACAAATTCACACTTCAATTTTCACAAAGCTTTGTCCGAGCACGATGCTCGGAGCGTCGAAAAAATAATCTCGCGCACGATTATAGTCAGTCTATATCGCGTTTTATTTCTGGAAATTTATTAGCTTCAGGCCAAATTAAATATTATCAAACGTTTGCATAGCGAATAATCATCAGACGAGAGATTAACAATTTCATCTTCTTGGATCAATAGTACCGCAACGCTTCCGCAACCTGCCGCAAGCGATGACATTCGCTTCCGTGAATCTCTCGACAGAATATCGCCTAACCGTATAAGTTCGAGTATCGACTCTGACTTGTTGATTTCGCGCGCGTTGGTGTATTTATATAACGTCATTCACACTTTGACGTATTCTATCGGAAACGAATATCGCTCACGGCTACCAAACTAAATTTTAATATAAAAGTAAACAATATTAAACAAACTCGAAAAATATTATACGACAAATAATTAATATGTGAAAATCACCGTAGCAATAAATTTTTCTGGGATACTAAAGACAAATATTATTTCCCAGAGGAAAATTTTGAGTATTCTATTTTGATAATGATGATCTGTACTAATCTCAATAGGATATATTTCTTTACTCGCATAACAGATGGATTAATAGCAATATAACGGTCGTTAACGATCTTTAAAATCTCGAAGCGTTAAAATCGCATTTGAAGTTGCTTTTCTCGCCAGTGTTTTTGCGCGAAAGCGCGGTTTTACTTTTGCCTTACTGCTTCCGAGCACAGATATCCAGGAAATTGTTTCCCCTCGAGGAGAAATGAGAGTTAACTCCAATAGAAATCGCTCCAACAGTTTCACATCGCGTCGGAGAAATGCGGGCGTCGGAAATGTGAAAGCTCGCTAAAACTTTAATTCCATTTCTCACGTAGCGCTTTCAATCGGAAGGTGACCGACGAACGGGGTTGAAATCGCGTTCGTCGCAGGATAACATTCTGATCCTCGATACTCGATCGACAAGAACGACACGGGGAAGAAAAACACACTGCTGGCGCGCGCGTAACACTTGCACGTAACACTCTCAGCTCGCCGAAAGCGAGCTTTTCTCCGGTCGACGAGTGCTGGCTTTAAGGTGGCTCAGCTGCGGAAATCCGACGGCTGACTGGAGGATTCGCAGACGCGCGTCTTTAATTTAGAGACGCGGAGCGCCCTCGACCTCGCACGCTGCATACGACTCGTTTCTGCCAGTGGAACGAAACGAACGTGTTCGTGCATATACGTGCACATTTTGCGCGCTTTACGGAATATATATCCGAGATAGTGGTGTCTGACACTGTCAGATATGGCACTCACAGAAGCGACGTTGGTCGTCACCGCGGGTAATTCTACCGGCTAATTGGCGAAAACCTCTGTACACAACCCCTCCGCTACTCGGTTTAGAGAACCAGCTCACTCCTCGATATATACGAGGAAACGTGATTTCGTGGCTACCAGGAAGGAAACGTCGACGTTTACCACGAAACTGTTAACAATACGCTTATTAAACCATTATCGCATTAGAATCAACCTGACAATTACCATAACCCGAAATCTTTATATTATTTCATACAATAGAAAATATCAATTCAATTAAAATATTAAGTCAGCAATATTTTATGCACTAAAACTACATTTCGATATTTTAATAGAAAATTTATGATTTCAAACACATAAATAAGAAAATATACTACTTGAAATAATTAGTAGAGCACATTTCTAATTATTTACTTCACTTTTTATAGAACCGTTCAAGATAATCCTTAATTATTTTGAAAGTATATATACAAAATTTGTGACTTCAAACACATAAATAAGAAAATATACTACTTGAAATAATTAGTAGAGCACATTTCTAATTATTTACTTCACTTTTTATAGAACCGTTCAAGATAATCCTTAATTATTTTGAAAGTATATATACATACTTAGAGTTTTGAAGTCTTATTGAATAAGTACAGATATCAGTCCGATAATGAGAAATCTTCTGCAGATTTAATAACAGTGTAGGAGAAAGAAGGTAGAGAGGAGTTTTATGAAATTTCTAATGGAAGATTATAAGAGAATTAATGAAATCTTTCTCAGTTTATGAAAACTTGGCAATGTAATTAATCGGATCTGCTCAAGCGACAATATCGTTTCCTGGATTTGCACAGTAAAGACGTATTAAATCATTAATGCCTTGCGACTTCATCCGGAGGTTACCACCCTCGAGACCGTCTTGCATATTTAAACGCCGGTAATTCGACATGATTTTCTCCCACGTTCTCAAACGTATAAATCCGTGCTACTATTTAGCTACTATTTTCGTACGCATCGAGTCAACTTTTATGTAGCTCTCCGCCCGTAAAAAAGCCATTCCGCGGGTAATAAATCCCGCGCTTTATCGCGTTCTAATACAATCACCGATGAGTAAACGCGTTTATCGAGCACGCTGAACGTTCTATCTTTCAAGATTCTTTTTCGTAAATTTAATTGAAAAAATGGTATCGATAACAAGTAACTAGAAAAATATATTTAACGATATCAAATTAAAAAAAAAAGTGTAAATTTTTATTTTAAATCTCGCCAAAGCATCTCGACGAAGCAATGAATACGCCGTTTGATTAAAAACGAAAGTGTTGATTATGCGATTGACTTACCCATGTCGTCGATTATAGGAGCCATTCGCAGCGTGACACCGACCAAGAGCAGGGACATGGCGAGTAGAAGACAAGCGGTCGCGACGATCGTCCATCGTGCACGAGGAGGGAGTTCCTCGGGATCGACAAGCTCCTCGTCCGGACCGACGGAATCGATTTTGCGCCGTTTACGTTTGCGCTTTCTTCGTGGTCGGTGATATCTTCCCTGAGGCTCATCCACCTTTTCCGGACCGCTCAGGGTCTCTTCTTCCTCCAGCTCGTCGGCTACGTTCAACGCCACATAGTCGTCGTCATCGTAATGAATTTTTCTGGAAAAGGCAAGAACAAAGAGATAATTTTTTTTTTTTAATTCGTTTCAGAGTTTCGAGTGAAACTTAAAAAGTAAAAATTGATTTTGAAAGGACGTTCGAAATCCATTGCATAGGTAATATCAAGCTATTGTTTCCACAATGTTATTGTTATAGCTTATCAAACGTTACTTGATCAGTATCGTTTCGGATATGAAATATGTCAATAATCCTGCGCATCTGGCGTTTAATTTAACTTGAAAAATAACATTTTATTTATACATTTCACACATACATATTTTCTTCAAAATCTTAGAAATAGATTTTTGTATTTTTAAGATCGACTTGTATCTAATAATAGAAAACAAATAGAAATATTTTTTCTTAAAAACACTCAAGTGCTTTTAAGAAAGAGATTTTTTACATAAAAATCGAAATTAGCTCTGTCTCATCTTAAACTATCCATTTATCGAGACTACGTATTCATATTTTGAATAAGATATCTCAAGTTGCCGATGGTCATTAATTAAAATCTATATTATACATTTGTTTGCGAATCAAACGACGAAAAATATCTCTAGCACATTCCTAGACATCGACATTAATTGTGAAGACTCGACGAAAGATGAACAACGAACGAGTATCGATCATGATGGTACCTGCATTGTTCATGAAATATGAGAACTTGCTGTTTGCCGTACGCGGATGACGGTGACTGAAAGGCCGATCCATTGTTATGTACTTCCGCATACTACTTTCACATCAACCCTTAGAATTAGAAATGTTATCCCATTTTCGATCGCCCAATGGAAGTAAGAAGCTGAACAACATGAAGAAAGCAAAAATTGACAAAAAATGAACCTAATTCCGCAACTCTAAGAAACTAAAAATGCGTAAATAATTAAAGATAGGGACTTATATTTTTGCGTACGATTACTTTGATGATTATCCGAATCTCTAAAGCTAAAATTTGAAATTAAAGTTTTAATTAGACATAATAGTTCAATATTATAAAATTTTAGACTATGAATAAATTTCTGATATTAAATAGAGAAAATATTCGACAAAAGATGGTTAAAAACTATTTTGATAAAAATAAAGAGTATATGATAGAATAGTATATGATAAAAACATAAAATTTCACACTACGATATAAATTTAAAAAAAAATGGAATATTAAACAAGATGCGTGATAAATTTATGATAAAAATTGTTCAGTTTTAGTTAGCTATCATATATCCGAACTCGGTAACGTGAAAAGCGGGCCAGTAATTCGATATACGTTCACAACACTCAACGAGAAGTAGACCCCGATATCGAGCTGAACGAAGAACAATCGTTGCACTATCTACGTCACACACACGAAGGCCGTGTGTCACGTGCTCTTTGAGTATAATTTTAGAAAACGCTGCTAGAATAGGACGGAAAAGTGGAAAAACGATAACCGAGGTGTCGCGCCGGGCATTGTACAGGGCTCGAATTCGAGCTAGTGATAGCAGCCAGCGTGAGGTCGGACAATGGCCAACACATCCATTCACGTCGACTATCGTCGTTTGCACATTGTTGGCGCATTTGTTAAGAAAAATTATGTTTTTCGGGTTATGAATATACGATTTCGTCATTCCGCAATTATTTGTTAAAGTTAATTTCCATATACGTTATAAAAATATGTTTAAAATACATTTGTAACGGCTATCGGAAAACGCGAAAAAGTTATAGATAGAAGCTTCTACTTACGGCGATAGCATATTCGATTAAAAGAAAACGTACGATAAAGAGAAATTAAATCAATATAGTAGAGTGGATTTAGCTATATCGGGCACAAACCAAATCAAGTAGTAAACATCGACGTTGGATCAGTCGCTCCGAGCAACTGTATATTCTGTCGTACAAAGTCTTTTAATTAAATTGTCTGTACAATATATCAAATACAGTTATTTGATAACTGTCAAGATACGTTCTCCGACGGTTCTTTACTTATATCTAGGATGTTTCAGTCACTAATTTTTAACCGAAGGATAGTATTATTCCGGATTTACAAAACAACGTTATAACAAAGTTCAAAAGCTGAAAAAGTATATTATCTTTTTATATTTTTTTCAATAAATTATTGCATGTTTTATATTTTAATCTCTCTTGCGCATTATTATCATATATAACAAATTAAATATCTTTTATCTGCAATGCAAAACAAAATATATTCTTTTTAAATGTATTGATAAGCGTTTCTAGATAATCTCCTGAGCTATATAATAGATCACGAAATTTCGATGCTAAATTGATCAATGTGAGAGAATTATAAAAGGCTTCTTTTTCTCATGTCGCGCGTTAAAAGAATACCGAATGTCTTGGCTATATAATTCCAGAATCTGTTTCAAATCCACAAAAAGGAAAGAGAAGAGTACACACGGGGGGATGACGCGGTAACGTAATGACGTCTTCTTGTGATCGCTACTCGCCATCGACTAACTCTCGATCGGCCGCAGTTTCATTACATGCTTCAACGATGCTCGTCCTTTGTCGCCCAGGTGGTTCAGCCACCAAACCGTGTTTGCCGAGAACAGCATATGACGAAGGTGCACAACCACGCATTACGCTGACCCAGTTCCACTATGTTGTGCTGCGCTTACGCCAAAACTATATTCTCTTTCTCTCTGTCTTTTTCTCTCTCCCCCCCTCTCTCTCTCTCTCTCTTCGTAGTTGACCGATCGAATATAGTAAATATGGAAAGACTAGATGCACGATAACATTCAGCGACCCCGTAAAGGATAAGATAGCGTATGAAAGTTTGCCAGTACAGAGAATTCGTTCCTGACGTGTACGCGAGAATCGAATTTCACAAGACTATAAATGAGAAAATTATGTCAGGGAATATATGAAGATTTTCTGAAACATTCTAAATTTCGGCAAGAGAAAAATAAAGAGAAAATAATACAATTTTAATGGGACTTAAAGTCGGTTTATCAACGAAGACATTCGTCGCAATGTTTTAATTTTCAACGTTGAGAAAATAACTTGGTTTTATATCAGTTTCTACAAAATCTGCATCAAAGTTTGCCTTTTCGACATTGTTATCGTCGAGACTTTTAAAAGTGCATTTAACTAAAAAAAAGTACTCACAATTGAGCTGCGCTTTGGGAAAAGTAGCAGGCACTTCGGTGCAGCCGTGGATATTCGCAGGAGTCGCCGAGGACTTCCTTGGCCCTTTCGAAGTTTATTAGAGCCACATCTTGGTCGCCGTCAATACCGAGCAACTCGAAGCGCGAATCGAGACCGGTGTGAACGTCTTGAACGACACCTTGAAGAACATTTGGGCTTCTCGAATGCCTGCGCTTCTTTCGAGGACTTCTAGGACTTTCGGAGGCTTTTCTCCGTTCCTTTCCTAAGAAATAAAAAAAAGTACAATTAGCAAATATCATTTAGTCTTGTCCAATATTTAACGATGCAGAAATATTCCGATTATTTCTATGTGCTGAGAAAAAAAGAATTGATACAAATTGAAACAAATTTTGCTTTAATTTTATTGTAGAATTTAAATGTAGATAATTTCTAAATTAACTCGAATTATATTTAAAAGATTATATAAAATAAATCTGATAATTATTTAGAAATATTAAAAATTTTTAAGTATTAAATTTATTAAAAATTTTCTCTTTCTTTGAAGAAACGCCTTCATAAGTTTGTGGTGGATCGAGAAAGACTACTTTAACATTTATCCAGATTAATAAATATGCCAGAATAATAATTTTTGACTTACCGTTAGATAACTTATGCTGAGAATGATGATCCATCATATTGTTGAGATAATCGCTCCCACAGGGTGCGGAATCGTGACGTTTACGACGATGGCGGTGATGCTGGCCTTTTTTCTTATTGTGCAGATGCTGCTGCTGCTGTTGCTGCGAGTGATGCTGCTGATGATGATGATGATGATGATGATGGTGGTGGTGGTGATGGTTCAATGAGGAGGAGGCCGTCGAGGTCGAGGTCAATCTAGGTCGGCGCGGACTGGCGGGTGCGCTACCGGAACGTCGGCTCAGCGTCGACGATGCCTTCATCGCTTCCACCTTTGTTTCCACCAGGGCGGCGAGGACGGCCTCGAGACGCGCCACTTCCATACCGCCGCTGCCGCCATCGTCCGTCGACACTGCCTTGTCGGCGACGTCGGAAGTCGACGGCGTCACCGTCACCGTCATCTCTTCACCTGCCCTCACCGCCTTCGTCACATTACCCTCATCGGCAGCTATTGTGACGATCGGTACGCTGTCGCGATCGGTTGTGACGCGGGAACGATCGGCCCGCTGTCGAAACGATCACAAACCGTCGGCCTTTCGTTTCTCTGCGACGGCGTTCCTGTTGTCCGCTGATGACAGCTCCTGCAGGAAGCGCGACAACATCAAGCCGGCTACTCGAATCACCACCGCCGGACCGGAAAGAGAGAAAGAATTTTCCGCAGATTCTAATGCGGCTATTATCGTCACGACGTAGCCGTACCGTTAACCACACCGTTCATTAATCTTTCGCAGGATTTCCGGACGACGCTGCTAACGATCTTCTTCCCTCGTAACAGCAACAGCTACAAGCCACATAAAAGCTGGTCGTCAATGTTCCTTGCCAATTCGTCCGCATTAGCAGTCGATGCTTTTTGCACCAATGGCTACTACAGGAAATACTTTTCTTCTGTATATTTTTTCACCGACGCAAGAGCAATTTTGTGTTTTCGCGAGCAGAAAAGATTTTTCTCTTAATTCCTCTCACATGTCAAATATAGTACGCAATTCATATATAAGCGTCTTGATATTTAAATAAGTATTATACAAGTACTTGCCGGCAGTATCTGACTCGATCTTGTTTACTTACTGCTAATTGCTTATTAACGATTGGCAAGAGAGATGAAATATGATAACTCTTTATTTATTCCAATTTGGGCAACTGCTTTTTCCCGGATCCAAAATCGTAGCATTAAAGATTGCCACAAATATAATTATACGTCCAATTATAGCCCTTCCGAGCATTACTTCAGTCAGGAAAAAATCTGGGTTCGTTCCGTCTTCCGTGAACTAATCGGTGTTCGATGGACCGTTCTTGACTGCAACGGTCAGCTTCGCGATGCGAATCTTAGCCGGATTATCGCTCCATTATCGATGATGGCCCAGCATTATCTGATAGCAAATATCAGATGATTCGCCGTGCTCGACGAAACGGATGATCTTCCACGGTTGCCGTAAATATCTTCCAGCGGCTTGGCCGGTGCTTGCGTTTCCATCATATGCAAATTTCACAAGTATCCGCTTTACGAGATGATTAATAGGATTCACTTTACCTTACCGCACATGTACGCTGCATCATACAAAAGCACTCGTAACCCGATATTTCTTGCCGGTGTTACTTTACGGTATCGCTTAGTGTCCCATCAAAATTTCTATCACAGTGATATCGTGACTGTTCTTTTAATGGATACAGTTAATGCGACGAAAAATCGCAAGCTCCAGATCGTTTGTGAACAATTTCAGAATCGATTGCCAGTGTCTCGAGGACTTGCGAAAAAAAAGTTGAAGTTTTTTAAACGTCCAGGAGTATTCTATTCAGTAACGCATGACTCCTCGTAGAGATTCCGTGTATCTCATGTTTTGTAAACACGAAATCACGTTCGTAACGCGGTTAGGTCGATCGGATCGATCTATGTCGTCAAGGTGTCGAGTAGAACGGTAACAATGATGGATCGACCCGTCTCGGTGCGCGTAGCCTCGAAACGAAATCAGAATTACGTCGTTCGCTTCTGTCCGAGCGATTTTGCTCGACCCTTTTCGACCATCCGCGTAACTAATGACCCCGTTCTGTCGTGCGACGCAATGCGAAGGACGGTCGAAGTACGCAGCCATGCCAGGCTAGAACATGATATGATTCGTCAGAGAGAATTGTTTCAATTAATCGAGATTAAAAATATTCAACACCGACATTCTTGATTTTCGAAATCTGTGAATGGCGCGATAGCCAAAGAATGACAACTTATTGTTAAATCGAAGATTTTTATATTTTAATATTGTGAAACATTAAAATTGTCGGACTTCAAGACGAGATATCGAAAATTATCGGGGATTATACTGATATTGTCAAACGCCTAAATTTTTGCATCTCATAACATTCAGTTTCTTGAATACTTTAAATAGCCTTGAATATTGCAATTTTTTAATTTTATCTGGATGGTGTCAAAGAATGTTCGAAGAATATTCTCAACAAACGATAAATAACTGAATCTTATTTTATCACTGATTTCGATAAATTGCATTATTATGTTATAACGATAATTATATTATTAAATAATCCATATATACATCGAGATATCGTAAGTTTACAAGATATTGCACGTGCAGGTACTAAAATAAAAATAAAAAATCTTTGTTGTGTAATAGCGCAACCAATTAAAAAATATTGAAATATATAATATATAATATCTGAAATTTTTTAAGAAAGAATGTCTCTTTTAAATATAACGTTATAAACGTGAGATTCTATCATACATTTCCAGTTTTACTAAGATAGAAACAAGATTTTATAGACAATCCTTTAGTGTCTTAAAAAAAATCACCGTATCTATTGAATCTCTAAATAGGATAATAAATCACTCTCCCGTTCGTGAAATGCGATAAAGAGATTGAGTAAGTAAAGAGTAGCTCGATGACGAGCGTCACCGCTCTAGGCTCGATTGCTCTAACGTCAGAGCACCTGCATAGCTCGGTCGGCTAGCGCATTCGATATACATCAATACGCTTTGGCGGCCGATTGACCATAAAATCCACTCGATACTGTGTGTGTATGTGGCAAGAATACTGGGCTACGCAGAGACCGTCCCGCGCTTTGAGCCACCCGATGATTCTGTGACTTTGTCCGTATCGCGGGTCAGGCTCGAGATATCGAGCACGGCCCAGTACGGGCTTCAAACTACCCCGCAGCTATCTCCGAACATTGTCCTAATTTATTCACCGTGATTACACAGCATCCAATCTGCTTACGTCGCCCTCAATTCTTTGAACGATTTTTTCGCGGATCCCAAACACGACCGACGAATTTTTCTCGTGTTTCTCTAGGGGATAAGGGACGGAAATGAAGCTATCTCGAAAGTGCACATGGTATCTCGCAAGCAGGAAGAAGCGCCGAAACAAAGCGTACACTAGGGGGTAAATAAACGTATAAATAAAAAGAAAGATGGAATAAGAAAGGTGATGCAGAGCTCTCTCTCTCTCTCTCTCTCTCTCTCTCTCTCTTTTTCTTTTAAAAAATGAGATATCGTAAATACAAATTACTCTTTTTTTATCTTTGATATGTTTTTTTTACAAAATAATTTCCGAGAGTATGTTTACCTTTAAGGGAAAGGCAAATTATAGTCAAAATAGAGTAGACGAAGAAATGATGAGCTCAGATCACACAATGAAAACGTCACGAGCAAGAGTCTGCTTAATCTGTTAATTTTTTTTTTTTTCGGAAAGAGAAGAGGATTATTTTATACCGCGGAGAGGAGAGAAAAACAAAGATACATATATGCAACCAATGGAGAGACAAAGAGCCTGAAACTAAGATAGATTATAACAAATCTCTCTCGGCATCACGTGAACGTGAAACTACTTGTTGTCACATACACACGCACATACACGGACACAACTACTTGCCGCTCCGCATTAATTCCGTTCATGTACTACTCACTACTCGCGCACCCTCTTGTACTCATTTAGCCTGACCCTACATAATTCCATATCTCGCGGAGATGCTGGCCGGGAGGCCCGGCTAGGTCTCCTACGCCCAGCACAAGAGATCGTGACGCTTTCAAGCACCTCTCGCGACGAGGGTTGATTGAGCGATTAGCGTGCCACGCGGGGTTACGTCACGCTAATCCCACGTTGCTGGCTGCCACTGTGTTCGGCAACGCTCTCGGCATGCCGCTGCCCCGAGTAGTGCACTCGCGACAGATACACGCATGCACGCACACGCATACAAGACGCGGTAGCGCGCAACCCCGACGGTAGGATGTCGCGTGCGCGGTCTTGTTAGCGATCGCCCGAGTACTGGGGAAGCGTCGCGGACAGGGTTGGCGGCGGGCAGGTAGCCGTTCTGGCAGGGTTGCTTTCAGCCCTACCCCTTCCTGCCGACGCCGCCACCACCATTACCAGCACCACCGACGACGTCGGCGCCGTCGTCACACCGAGGGACGGACGAGTCTTCTCCCTCCTTCTCAGCCGAAGCTGGGACCCTTCTAAGGGTGCCAACGAACCGAGATGTTTATCTTTCGAATTCCTCATTTCTTCGTTTTATTCTGCACGCAAATGTGCCAGTTTCAACGTCTTCGAAATATAAATCTTCGTGTAAGTTAGTCCGATGACGAGTTTATCACACGCAATGTTCCAAAAGTGGCACAATTTCTTCAGATTAAAAATATTTAAAATTAGATTTAAAAAAGTGAGTTTTTCGAAAAATTGATGGTTTTAACAGAATAAATTCTTAAAGATTAAAAATTTAGAATATTGCACTTTAGTAATGCGAATAAATAATAAAGATATCAATTTAATGTTAATTTTAATATAATTATAAGATATTGTTTAATAGCTTAATATATTATTAATTTAATATATGTGTGTGCGTATGCTACTCTCTCACTCTCTCTTAATGAATGCGTCAATGTCCGAAATTAAAATGATTGGCTTTAATTATTACTGAAATGGTAAATTGCGTTTTGATAAATGGAGAATTATAGGCGTTAATTTTAACAAACTATTACAATTACCTGCGCAAAACTGTCCGTTCTATAATCTTCCCAGGAAAAAGCCGACTATGCAGACTCTGTGTTAAACCTAGGTTTATATCGAGGTATAAATCATTTTATTGCTTGTGCTGCAACCGCGCTGTTACGGGTTACGTTATAAAGATAGATAGCGATACTCGCTATACAAGACACATAAAAGTAAACTCCTGCATTTTAACTGCATCGTAACGTATTACAAAGTATTCTTATCTTTATTTTACAAATCGCCGAGATTGAACGAATCTCGATATCGAATCTCGCGAGGTAAAAATAAAAAATGACTTTAACGATTCGGACGAGAGATTAGAATTCTCGTTTCACTCTTCTTCATTAACTCCCCTTTCTCGAGAAATAAGGACGAATTGTGAGCGTCGTTCCCGAGCAGTAAAGCACTTTTTGTCAGTTTGATTAAGTCGGCCGATGTTGAGAGAGGCTTTCGGAATGGCCTTGCCTTTGTCCTCGCCTTCGGAACAATATCTTTCGCAGATTCCTCGTCACCGGCGTCTGTTCGCTTTGGAAGATTTCCAATCCAGCCCCTCTTCATGCGTGAAATTTTCCCTTCGCCTTACATTTCACTGCACTTTACGCAAAAGTGGAAAACCGAGATCCAGTAGCGATAAGCAATAGAGATGCAATATGGCTCCCTTGGTGCAATTTTGCATCATGAGATGAGCGAATAAAAATCTAGCGATTGAATTTATGACTCGCGAGAACGGAATCGTCCAAATAAATTTAATCGATCGACCTGTAGCTTCTCGTAGCTTGGTAAAAACGCTGAAAAAATTCCCTTCCACTAGCAAAGCCTTAATATCTTCGTTCTCCCTCCAGGCGTACTTTCGCATCGTCTACGTAAGATAAGACGATTAGCACGTACACTGTTATCTGGAAACGTGGCGAAGAATCTTGGTGGAATCAGAGATATTCCAGGGACGATGTACGTTGCATACGAAAACGAGAGCGTACGTGCGTAGATTAAAAAATAAAATCTTTTCTTCAAAATAAAATTGTTTTAACAAGCTGTAGTGTTAATGCATCCCTTGTCTCGCTTCTGAATTTTTCACAGCGTAAACGCAGTACATAACTTTTTATATCGTCAAATTTTATAAATTTTTTATCATGTATATATAAATCCGTATGTATGAAGTATATAAATATATATAAATATAAATATGTATCTTATTGTTGTAAATGGAGAAATTTATCTTTGTTGCTTGTACATAAAGTATGATACCAAGATACAATAAAATAGTTATACTTAGTTCTCTATATCTTTCTATCTCTATTTAATATGCTTATATAACTCTGATTAGCATTAACATTCACTGATGCGTAAAAAACATACCTTTCGCACATATGTTTGTAGACATCGCAAGAATAATTCTATCTGTTCCGCGCGAAAGAATCGGCGGAAAACATTCCTTTTCCTTTTTAAGAAGATATAAATGATGAGCGCGATTATTGAATTGGCATCATATCAGTCAAAGGTCATTATCAGAAATATATGACTAGTTTACTCAAGGTAAATAATAAAATTGCTAGTTAAGTATAAATATACATTTGTATAAATATTTAAAAATAATAAGAGATTTTTTTATTCTGAATGATTAAGACGATATGACAAACGTTGAAAATTGCTGCTTACCATATAATACTAAATTGTAATTACGCATATCACTCAGGGGCACACCATTAATTATCCGGCTGGGTCGGCCCCTTCTCATTCTGAATGACGAGCTCAAGTTCTTCCACACACAAAGTATCCTCCTACAAAATATAAATTCAAATAAAACAGTTAAAATTTATATTCATATTTAGTCTAATTTTACATCAGTTGAAATAAAAAATAATGATAATTAGACTTTTTTCTCTATGTTTAATTTCAATAGATTATTTTTTCAATTTTTCCAGTTTTTTACGAAATCATTAATTATAACAATATGTTACAGGGGTTTGAGGCTCGAAAGTTTTATTTATTTTAGCTCGCAGCTTAGCGGGAAGACAATTCGGCCCACGCACCAGCTGAGAGTAGGGCAGAAATCAATTTCTGTCCTTCTTGTAGGGCGTGGTTTTGATGGGTCCTGAGAGCCATCTTATCGCAAAAAGTTTCAATGGCAAATCACGTTTGGGGGTCTTACAGAACGGAATTCGATATACGTCACAATGATAAAGTACGTCGTTTATTCTTATCTCTATCATCGCGAATATAAAATTTTATGTATAGAGTCGAGAAAGAAATCAGAAAAAACGTACCTCTTTAAGTGCCGCACGACGGACGAGGTAATCGTGACGCTGTTTCTCAGGAAAGGAGATTGGCGATACGGGCCACGGAAACGTTAGATCTCCCTTGCCGTTACTCAATTTTAAAAACAACGAAGTTGCTATTACGAACGGTAGTGCCAATATTGGTAATCGCGCCTAAAATATAACGCGTTGAAAGGGTGGAAAGTATTATAAATCAGCAAAATAGAAAAGGAAGGACTTTAATTACTTTTATAAATATCGATTCTATGGAATATTGCAAAAGTGAGGTAAAAATAATCGCCATGACGGTGGCAGCGGCCGTCTGACCGTTCAGCACCAACAGATTTCCTCCTAAAGCAGCCCCGGTCAAGAGACTATTGTATCCCCAGAATCCGCTGTAGACTTTATGATAGTCTGCTCCGAGCTCCAAACCTAATAGAAAATTTGCGATAACGATAATTTATATACCCAGGCTTTTATCTCGAAACAAATGTTCTTGCTCTTAGCGCCTTGCCTGTATTGACGTTGGAAAATTTCATATATTCACTATGCCCCATTAATAAACGGTAAACAAAATTAATGATTCCCTCATGTCTCCTCTCTTTTCTCTCTCCCTCTCTCTTTTTCTCTTTCTCTTTTGTACATATTTTTATATAAAAAAATTATTTAAATACCTGCAAAAGTTCCACAGAGAGCTCCAAAAAAGGAAAACGCGGTTGACGCCGGCGAATATATTAACATTGCTAGGTACATGACAGCTCCAACGATCACATTATCGATGCCAAACAGCTGTGATGCGGAAACAACGCTACCTCGTAGTATCTAAAATACGTTTTCTTGAAGCATACACGCGCAAATAGATTGATATATTCATTTATATATTCTTTGTATTGCATTTCTCTCGATAAACAGAAGCGAAAATATTCATTCCATTTTATTTCCGTTACAGTAACTTCGAGTAGCTATAAAAAAAATTCCGATGCACAACAAATATCAATACCGTTATACAATATTCGATAAAATAAAATTTAACAGGCTCTTGTACTCAGTAACTGTATATATATCAATTGTATAGAAAATTTAATATAGTAGAATCGCGATGCAACGAATTAAATTTGAAGGTTTATTGAAATGCCTTGTAATAAGATTTTACTATGCTACATATTGCAATATGAAAAACAGATTCCGAATGAACGGTAGAACTAACAAGGTCCAATAGTATTTTTTAAAAGAAATCAAGAGTACACTGTTACAAAAAATGGAGCACAAGTAAACTCTACCATTCCCCAGTCGATATAAACGTTGGTAGCAGTCTCCGGGTAGAAACCGGCGTCGTTCATTGTCGTCGTCGCCGTCGTCGTCGTCATCGTTGTCTCACTTGTTGCATTGTGCTGAAAACAATGGGAGAATCTTGCACAATAACCTGATGCACGTGATGCAGAAATGCACGGGGTGATCTCTCGACAAGTCTAGAGAGGGTTCAAACTATTTTATGATGAAATATATGCCTCGCGGAGAGAGAAGTAATTTATATTCTGCATCGCGCATATCGACCTCGGCCGTAAATTTTTCTATAACACAGAGGGAGAAGAAACTTTTCTCGTAAAAAAAGACAGTGTTGTTCCGCGCAGCTGCGATTTTCACAAATTTTGCTGCTTACGATCAAGCATTATTCGCATGAATCGCGAAGTTTACTTACGCTGTATGAGAGAGTACAGTTAATACTTTCGCGTTATCGCGAGGATACACGAGCGATTAGCGTAGCGCGAAGATAATGGCACATTTTCACTCTCGTCATAAAACTTAATTTACATATAACCGCAGCTACACACCCAACCGAGTCATATTTTCAAATAAGCTACTGTTATAGCGCTGTTTTCTAAAAGGAAATAGTTTGAGAGAAAAAGAGAAACGTGACGGAAACTCGCCCAATATTCAACAGAAACAAACAACCGACGACTAGTTAGGGTAAAATAAATCCAAGCCGAGAAGGTAAGTTATCGCCGACAGAGTTGTTCGGGGCAGAGTTTGATCAATACGGGAAAAAGTTATGCTCCGACCCACGGTGGATAGTATTTTCCCTTGTGAAGGCATGTCAAATATGTATGGTCTGAATATTGGAGGCCGACTCTTTTCGAGCGAGTTTTTTATTCCAAGCGCCGAAACCTCCGCTTTATTCTCATCAAACTTGCCCTTTCGTCTAAAACTGATGGTAAATTAAAACTTTTAAAATTGCGATCAATCACTCATTCGCTGTCATTTTAAACGAGTATAGCGCTTGTCAAATAAAACGCCTTTTGTGTATTACATTTCGTAAATCTTAAGGGTATTGTAACTTTTTCATTATATGCATTTTTTTACAATGATTGCTTATTATTAAGGAAAAATAGTTTTATTATATTAACTTTGATTTTCGAGAGTAAAAGTATCATACTGTCTTTATTTAGTAGATTGCAAAATTATAAAATTCCGATTTCTTATATTTTTTAAATACATTATTCCCATTTTTTTTCATAAAACTTTATAATATAATAATTCTATGCGCAATCGTGTTATGTATATAGGGTCTTATTGCAAATTTTACACACGTAATATAAAATTAATTTACCATTTCATACATCGGTTCCATAGATTTAGTCAACACCTCCGCTCCATTCTGCGTCGAAAGGGCGAAAATCAACGCAAATTCCACCAAGTTAAACGGCCACGCTGTGCATGCGAATTTATCGCTTCTCAGAGACCGCGCGAGATAAACACTGGAAAATATTAACCAGATCTGTTGAAATTTGCTAACATTGCCGTCTAGCCACATTGAATGACGTGAGTGAATTGCAGCTAACTCTGCAGTGTAATCTACCATCGCAAACTTCCTATTCCGCGAATAAGCTTGCTTCTAATTCTAAATATCTCAAACATAGAATCATGATGAATTAGCTTTCTCCACACGCGTTCCTTCAATTTTGAGTTGTGTAAATTCATAATGTTATTTGTAGCATTAAATTCATAACATTCTAACTTGAGGAATTATTATCCCGGTGTAACTACAATGTAATATTAGTATACAATCCACTATTTTCTTTGATGATGTAACAATTATTATGAAGCGTTGGAATTAATTCGCGTATATGTTAGCTTAATTATAAGTGTCAATTATCTCGCGCGTCAAGATGTTATTTATAAATGAATAATTAATTATTTCACATACAGAGAAATATTTCATGCGTCATCTGTATCAAATCAAAACTACATTTATTTGTATATTATTCCCGGGATATTTACCATCATTCACGTCAATATATTTCAAATTAAATTAATTATATAATTTATGCCCATTACAATACATACGAATAAATTTATTATCCATTACAATATTTTCAAAATACTCTATAAAAATATGAAATGCCGGAATGTACCTGAGTATCGTCGCGAGGAATACAAGCAGGAAGCTGAAGGCATCGAAGGCTCCGTAAATCCGCGGTATCAGAACATATGATATCGCGCCGACCAGCACGGGATTGTACACGCTTAATCCGTTTTCTACAATATCCTCAGGTTCTTGTATGACCTGCAAGAGAATGAAAAAGTCTGAATAAAATGTCATATCGCGATTCCAGGATTAAAATCCTCTTCGCTGTCAGACACTGCCGCATTGCGGTAATTTTTCTCACCGTCTGCACACGCAAACGGTCCATTAGATTCGAAAGAGATGAAAAAGAAATAACAATGAGCGTTACATGATGTGCACCGTCACGTATGAATAGCGATGGTCGAAACGAGCGTCCGTCTCGACGGCGCAATGCGGCAGAAAATGTGTTACATCTTTTTGGTAAGAACGCGCATCGCTTGACACTATCGCGACTAATAAATAATAAAACGTACCACGGACACTAGGAGGCCAAGGACGGCGGTGGCTGCGGACAACGCCAATGTACCTGGCGCTACTGCAGCCAAGGTAACTATTATCAGTAGTCCGCTGAGGGGATTATTCGCAAAAACAGTCTGCAACGTTAATGAAACCAATCTACGTTAATTAAAAATACATACGGCAGTTCCGGCGATGACGTACAACGTGCAAAAAAATAACAATCTTATTACTGTAACAAATTCTTTTTATCGAAGAAATGAAGACTATTTTCATCGTATATACATATAACATATTCCTTATAATAAGAAAATAAAGTAACAAAATAATTAATTAAAAATAATATTTATATAAATAATACTATAATTTTTTTACCAATTACAAGATAACAATTATATTGACATTGTCGCTAATAGCGGATTATCTTTTTATACATCCATTCTGTAAAATTATTTCGATTGCAGTACGTTATACACCATGATACGAAAGCAATTCTATTTCTCTTCATTATCTTTTCTCTCACTTTCTCCCTTGAAAATATTTATGGGAAATTATGAAAATTATGACATTGTACCGGATATTACATTAGATTTATTACTCACGTGTCCGAATCCGCGCAGCAAGGCGTCAAATAATTGCACCATGTACCAAATTGGTGCTTCCTTCTGCGCAAAGAATTTCTTCAAAATAGCAAAGTCGCCTACGCACGCTACCCATGTTTTTTCCTGTCGGGTTGATCTTATTTTTTACATAATTGCATTCTTATATATGTAGATAAAAAATTTTTCTACACAGATTTTTACAGAATGTAAAATTAATTTTTTTGAGAAAAAATTTAATAGAGAGCGATTATATGTCACGACAATTTTTTCTGCAAAATTTCACTTTAAACTTATTGCAAAAATCTGTGACAAAAAAAATACAATTTATTAGAAAATATTATATATATAACTTAAATTTCGAGAAGATTTCTGAAGAGTTATTCATTTTCATCTCTCAAAAAAGTGATAAATAAATTATGAATGGTATAAATATATTCTAAAATATAAAATTATATTTGCGATAGAGACAATATTTTGACGATATATAACATTGATAATATTTTATAGATACTCTTTTTGTGATTAAAACCACATCATTAAACACTCAAATATGAATCGTCAAGAAAGATATATAGATATAATAAAAAAAAATCTAGAAAATTATTATGGGATTGAAAACTTCACACTTTTCGCACTCACACAAATAACTGTATATTAAATTTTAAATAATGCTCACTTGCCGCAGTTCTACTGTTGATACCTCCTTCGCGGACATCACGTAACAGTGAATAATATTAAAATCGAATGACAAAGTGATCTACTTAATTCACTGCACAAAACATCCCCCACCATGAAGTTAACACATTTGTAATATACTTTGTGTACATTTAAACAGCAATAAAAGTACATACTCATCGCATTAAAGCTGCGAACTGATATATACACGTAATAAAAGTGACAAGTTCTACTGATTACGTACGTTCTCCAATATGTGAGAATCTAATCAGTCTTTTATCAATCTTTATAATTTTTATATTTAATCTTTATAACTCTACTATAATTTTTTAATATTAAATTACCAAATATTTAATTACCATTTAACTACCATTGTTAACCATGACACAAGATTTTCAAAATTATATTAACGCAAAGAAAATTTCTGCTATATATAGATATATTATATAAATCTTTTTATAATAAAATTATTTGTGTAATAAAATAATTTTTAATGTATAAGAGCGCGCGCGCGTCTATTATATTTATAATCTTTGTGCGTAAGATAAACTGAGCATTTATAAACATTTCTCTTAATATCACGGCTATAGTTTAACAACGATGCTCAAGACGATACTGAAGCTACTACATATGTACTTTAACTTTTTATATCTAGAACAGATGGTTTTTCTTTATAACACATGCATCAAAATGCGTATTAGTTAGCGCGACTTACATGATGCTAATTAGCGTACTATTGGCATAGATACTGAGACTTGTTTTTGTAATGTCCATGCAAGTCATGAATAAAATATACTACGCGTTAAAATAAATGATATATTCATATAATTATATATATTCAATATTTCCATTTTCAAAACCTTTGCACTTTAAAAAAACAATAAAAGACAAAAATGTTTAAAAAAAAGATTTGTTTTGTGTCACTCAAGATACTCCTCATTATATCGCATAAACAGAATGATTTATTCATTCATTTTAAATACAAACAATGATAAAAATTATTTTATAAAGCTTATAGTATATTTATAAAATTCTCAAAGATATGACATCTCGATATATCAAAATAAAAAAAAATCTTGGAAATGCATGTTTTTTTCCTGCGAAAAGGCAAATCAAAGAAGTAAATTGTTCTCTTTCAAAGGCACGCCTTTTATTGTAGTATCAATATAATGTAATGCGCAAAAATTATATATCCATGACGTAATTGGGATGTACAACAAGTAAAGGATCCTCTTCTTTTTCTTCGTCCTCTTTATCTTTACTTCTCAAATCGGTCATTGTTAGAGGTATTATAATTTGATCCTGAAAGTGAATTTGTGCGCGCGTCATGCAATAAATGATTATATAAAATCCAAATACACCAATTATACAATATATAAATATATTAATACATACATGATATGTCAATCTATCAATAATCTTCTCAATGAAGCTTTTCCGTTCTAACAATTCTTCTTCCGAATCTAATTGATCTTGTATTTGATCAAGATACCATGCAACTAATTCGGATTTCCGTATGCCACCTTTATTATCATCTATTAGAAAATATTCTAATTTAATATATAGATATGATAATTAAAACTTATTGCCATTGTTTATATCATAATAAATATACCTTCGCTTTCCGCACGATTTTCCTCGCTTCTCATATGGAGCACTAACATATTCGATAGATTTTTGTATTCCTCAAAGGACATTGTTAATTTCTTCTTTGGTGGTTCGCGTATTCCGTTAGACGCTGCTAAATCAAACAAACATGTGTAATGATAATAAGTGCGCTACGTGCGTAATATACAGACAAAAAAAAAAGAAAATATGCACACATACGTGTCTGAGGCGGTGCATCATCATTATTATCTAATGCGTTAAGCGCTGCCATGAGCGGTGGTGGCTCGTCAACATCCATTCCTAAGTTCGCGTCATCTCCACCTTCCTCAAGATCTACATCAGGCTGTTCTACTGTAATTATACTCTTCTGTAACAATCGTTTCGCTTCTCTGATGTGCTTCACTGTCACTTCGTCCACGCATTCTAGTTTTGCCAGCGCCTCAGACAATCTAATCATACTTTCCAATTGTCTCACGGTAACTCTCCACTTGCCACTTCCGCTACCCGTTCTTTGTCTAAGAGCCGTGTAACTTTCTACTAAAAGATCGGCAGCCTCCTAGAATATAAAAATTAAAATAAAGTAATAAAACAGAAGATTCAATGAGGCTCGAATGATAAAAATCAATTAATAAACAGGAAGGCCAATTAGAGCCCCAGCGGTACTTAGAGCGTAAAGGAATTATTATATTTTGTTGAATATACATTCAAGATGTATTATACATTAATTCAAACGGTTCGACTCATTTCGGGTCTTTTTCAATGAAATCGAGATAAAAATCAAAAATTAAGTAAAAAAATAAATAATCTCTGGGCTCCAATTGGCTTTCCTGTTTATTAATTGATAAAAATTAAATTAGTTAATGCAATTATTTGACAGAATAATTTATTCTAACATATCTTACCCGACTTAAAACGGGTTTAAAATGCTTAGCAAAATTAATATATCTAATAATCTCGTCTTGCTTGTAAATCATTTGAAGATCATTCAAATTATCACAATGTAAATCTATGATTCTTTTGGCGATAGCATTGTCAACAATTTCGTTGCATTCATCCAGCACAACAAAGAACAAATCGAATCTCGACATGATAGGTGCGGTCAACTGGACATTTTGCTGCAACGACTTTCTCCTGTCATATCGTCCGCCGATGGGATTTGCTGCCGCTAATATAGATGTTCGAGCATTTAGAGTTGCTCTAACACCGGCCTAAAAACATATGTAGACTGTTCACTACATAATTCTTTTGTGTGTGCTATATTGTTTTGTATTTTATAAATTTCAGAAATACCTTAGCTATTGAAATCGTCTGCTGCTCCATTGCTTCATGAATTGCGACCTGATCTTTTGGATCCATTTTGTCGAATTCGTCGATGCAGCAGATGCCATGATCTGCGAGCATCAATGCCCCGGCTTCTATGACAAAATCTGACGATTCTTCATCTCGCACAACTGCAGCCGTTAAACCAGCCGCGCTTGACGCCTTTCCAGACGTGTAAATCGCTCTAGGCGAAATATCAGATACACATTTAAGGAATTGTGATTTTGCGGTGCTAGGATCACCGACAATGCAGACATTAATATCTCCTCTTAGCGACGTACCCTCCTCTGTAGTCTTCGGTACACCACCGAAAAACATCAATGTAATTCCCTTCTTAATTTCGTCATTACCGTGTATCGCGGGAAACAAGCTGGTCACTAAGTTCTCATACAGATTTTTGTCGCGACTCATCTCGTAAATGCGATTCCATTCTGCTTCTGACATTTGTTTCTTCATCATCTCTTGTGAGATTTCTTCCATTGCCAAATCTGTACCTCCAAACTGTTGAAATTGAAATTAATTAAATAAATATTTGCCTTTTTAATAATAATAATATATTTTTAGCATATTTATTGATTCTGCTTACCCTTGAACTTGTGGCGGTAATACTGCAAGCGAGAAATGCAGTTTTATATGTCAACTCTCTAACACCGAGTGTCTTAAGACCACTTACACCCTCTCTTTGTTCATTATTTCTGTTTTTTGGTCCAACTTCTGTCTTAGAATTTGATACAGATAGTGATCCCACATCTGGCACTACTATAAGAGTTCCCGTAAAATCGTATCTGTAAAAATCAAAGAATGTGTTTATAACTTTGATAATTACAATATATATTTTCATATAAAACATTAAACATTATTTTTAAATCTACCTGTCACCAGCTTGCACCAGCTCAACTGTCTCAGCTCTCAAAATGATTTCAACAGAGCGAGGTATAGAGCCTCTAGGAAGCTCAGCTTGTGTTTCTTGTATCCTGACTTTTTGAAAATCGATAAACACTGAATTATCCATATCCAACAGAAAACGTCGTCTGTTGTTACATACTGGGTTAGTACAGATTGTTGGATTTGTGAACTAGAAACAATGAGCTATTTAGCCAAAATTAATCATGCTTTGCATAATAGTATATGAATATAAATTCTCATAATACCTTAAATTGCTGTTCTACATTTTTGATTAATGCATTGCAATCCATACAAACAAATGTCCCAAGAACTAACTCTGGATGAACTGGATGTGTTCGTACCACCTGTCCAGATATACGTGCCAAAGTACCCAATCGTGACGTGTTTAATTCTCTTAATTTATGTCTAGTCGGTACATCGACAAAACTAACGTAACATTCCTTATCTTTTTGCAACTGTCCTACGTCTTTGACAAAGTTACAAACTGCTTGACATAAAAATGGATATACTCTAGAACATATGATTATCTCATTAATAATTAAAAAAATAATTATTTCTAAGTGTTATCAAGGCTAACATTTATGCATTATTCACAAAATAATTATAAAAACATTTTGTTTTATATTTTGCATAACATTATTAATTTAGTATATTAATATAACATACAAATATAATATGACCATTAATATTATAGATTAATATAATATATTAGGATTGATATATAAAAATAGATACCTAAAGTATTCTTCGATTATGGTTGTAGCCAAAGTTTGATTATATGATTCTGTATCTTCAAAAGACACCTCCAATGTACACCGCTCTGGACTGACAAGTTCTTTAGCTGGTTCCAGATATTTAACCACTTCATCTTCTTTAAATCTATAATAATAATATAATTACAGCTACTATAAATATATATAGTATATCAAAAAAATCGATTAAATGTTAATAATATTAATTTCCGCGTTAAAATCGAAGAAATTAGACTGAATTTATCTTGAAGTTTCTTTATATGAAATTCTGAAAAAATCAAGATATATTACTTACTCCTCCAAGAAATCTTGAAACAATTTTTGACACTTGATTCCGACCTCATCCTGTACACGTGCTTGACCAGCTAGTGCAATATTAGCTTCCATTTCGTCGATTAATTATACAAGAAGGCAGTATAAGAATGTGGATAAAGGCGTCTATTATATTAAATAATGTTGATGAGAATTTGGCGGGAAGAGAAACTTTGGACACGTTTTCAAGAATATGGGTGCGTTCCGTTTCACGCATTGAGCGCATAGAATCTATGCCATAGATCGCCTGGAAATCTATAATATATGTTACGTGAACTATAGATTTCCAGGCGATCTATGCGCTCAATGCGTGAAACGGAACGCACCCTATGATGTTTCCATCGAGGCAAACAGACATCTTGTCACTTGTAAGACTAGTGTAAAATACTGCGCTGCTATTGGTTGGAATTGATTACATGTTGGAAATATACAGCATCTGAATTCCCTAGATTTTAGATGATCAACAAAATTACGACCGCTATTCACATACCAACAGTCGATGAATTAAGCCATCTCATAGTTCCTAAACTTGTCATCCAATTCCCGTGATCCCAAGAAAACATCGACCGTAACATCGTGCACTCTGGTGAAAGCATGTAAACTAAAACGATGTTCGAACCAAATCGCCATTTGAATGATTCATCATTCTCATTCATCAAATAATACTTTGATACACATACATAATTCGTACGTGGAATTATTTTTTCACTTACTTCAACGCGCGATTATCGCAATCGCGAGATAAATTATTTGACAATTTGCTGCCATTTCTTTTATTTATAACAAATATACATATGTGTAAATTCTTTTTATTTTTATTATTTTTTCCGTCTGCATAAGATTTATTTCTCAGAACGATAAAAAATAAATATTTCCGAGTCTAAACCGCGCGTTCGGTGAAAGTGCATTTGCAATCCGCATAACAGCAAAAAATTCTGACAGCATAAAACCAAACAAAAGAAATTTAAATGAAGCAGAAGTTATCCATTATGCAGAATTCGTCTCGCGAGCGTCTCTTCAAGACAAAAGGAAAGTTCTTGATAACACCTCGCATTTCGAGAATAATGCGTAACGGTCTTGACACAGAAAAGGGAGGGGAAGAAAGTGTAGAAATCTTCATAGAAAGGACGGAGATGTTCTACGCATTTCCTGGCCGAGACAAGACTTAGCTCTTAAGCGGACGCGACAGCACGTTGTATAAATGGCGCGCGAAGTGCGTGCCGCCGTTTTAGTCGTTTTTACGAAATAGAAGGAGGATGGTCGTCGTCGACAAAATCAGCATTGTCTGTCTGGTAACGAGAATTTCGAGACATCTTCGCGCGCGTTTCGATGCGTTAAAACGCAGCAATACCGGTGCAAAGAACATTAACTTAAATAAAATAATACTGTTACACGTTTTACGATACAGTACAGCGATTTTACGATAAAGTACACTTTTATACGATATCAACCAAAATGTGCGAAGTTTTTATCGACTATCGTAGTTTGTTGTATTCGACGCGTTAACAACTTAGAATTTTCTCTCTCTAGTTCACCAGAGATAGAAATTCCAAAGTTGATCTAGCAGTCTGAAACTATCGTCCGTGAGCTTGATCGTCGGCTAGTATTTTAGCTCAGGGTGCTTGGGTGCAACGACCCTGGTCCTAAAACGAATCTGGCATTCTGCCGCTACTCTAAGCGGCGATCCGTATAACGGAATGGCATGGCGGGAATGCGTTTCCGAAAGGCAGACGTGCACGCTAACAGACATTGTCTAAATGTAGGTGACACGCGTTTGCTTGACGAGTGCCATACTGGCGGCCAAGGTATCCTTGGATCCGACGAATGTGCCGCGTCCGTGGCATAGTTATTTGCTGGCTACGAGCACGCCGTTCCCGAAACATCCGAATCATCAACATGACGATCGTTCGATCGATGCTGATCTAGAAAAGCTCGTGTCCTCCAGAGAACATTCAACAAGACTTCAGTCCGCGATTTCGACCTTGAATAATCGCAGACAAAAGTCGCAGACGGGACCTCAGAGGTATTCAAACTTGTCATTTTTTTTTTTTTAATTATGCGATAATATTTTGTATCGAAAATAATATATTTATATACAAGGCACTCGTAATTAATATGCAAAAAATTTGGGGAAATCTTGCATGCAATTATAGCTTCATCAATATTCTTTGATTAATTGGTCATTAATTCTTTCCTAGCAGAAACTATCCATCTCGAGTTTATTTAATGCTTGATAATAAATCTTGAAGAAAAAAATAATAATATATATTTTATAATCGCATAACTGTAATTAAAAATATTAAAATATTAAACTACAACTAAATTTTTCGGTAGATCTTGAGATATTGTGTAGATAGACAGAATTTTAAAACAGGTATTGACTACATTCAATATACATTCGGAGACGAAAAATCTCGCGGTATTTCTCTCGCTAGGAAGGTATTGCATATATTATATCACCTCTTTCTCGACAAGGTTCCCTACGGAAATTCACCAAGACTTTTTGGCGAAAGTGCCGAATGCATCGCCATCGCCTCCGCCGTCGTCGACGACGATGACGACGACGTTATCGGGATCTCGAGACATCGAATATCAGCGGCATGTACCACGACGATTCGCATATCAGGATATCGAAATGCTCGACAGATACTTGACAGACGAGCCGGATGACGATGAACTACCGTATCGCGGGAAAACCGAACTGTCGACGTATTACCGTCGCGGGCCGCAAGATATAACGGCGGCCATCAAGGCCTTAGATCGCTTCCTAAGTCGTACTTTGAACGACGACGGGTACAACAGCAAGTTACATCCACCGCCCAATCCCATTTTAGCCCTCGTCCTGTCTCGATACGGACGCTACGTGCCCGGAACGCGAAACCCTCGCGTATACGCGAACATGGCAGTGAACAATATTCACAACCATTTGCCGTTCGGCAGGTACAAATACGAGTGCGACGAGGAGCCGATTTACAAATAGCGATAAATGAAATAGCGATTGTATCTAATATTGTAAAATTGCGAATAAAAATAATATAAGCGTAAATATATGACAAAATGAAATAGAATTTGATAATTGGAGCTTTCGCGATCCTTGGAACCGATATTCGAGGATGTGATAAATATGTATAATAATATACGAGTATGTGTGTATGTATGTATGAGGATATATAGACCGATGAAATATCTCTATTTCCTTCTACATGCACGTGTATCTTCATACTTCAAGATTTTGAAATATGCTTTACGGGAATTTCTTATGCCTCATACGTGCACATGTACGTACGTGATCAAATAGATAATATTAAAAAAATTATTTAATTATCTAGATTATGCATATATATTTAAAATATACTGAGTCTTGATTTTATTTCAATCTGTACAAATCTAATACTATTCCATTTTTATAAAAATCCATTTTAATTTAATTCCATTTAAAAAAATTATATTTAAAAAATTAACTCCCTCTAATTGTGTATGAAAAATAAAAATGGATATAGAGAGAAAAGAAATTAATACAATTAATACAATTTCGAATGTTCCACTTGAGCGTAGGACGGCGTTCGCACAAGCGTTTGTCTCTCTTGAGACGCGATACTCGAATTTATATAAATATTTCCCGCAACTATCCCCGCCCACGTTGTGTAATTTGTCCCGTAGTCATTCACAAAGACATAACGACGCCTATCAAGGCCCCAGATCGCTTCCTGCGCGGGACCCTGAACGACCATAGCAGAGCACTCTCTCCGCAGTGCAAACTGCGTCCGTCGGTCAATCTCGTATTAAACCGTTGCTGACCGTGCTTTACACGAATAGTACGTGTGTACGCTATACGTATTCGTACATTACATGTTCGTATCTATTTGCTTGCAATCGAGAGAATCGATAGGGAGAATCAATGTGAATATGTGATCAAATTTGAACGATTCTAGGTGATGCCACGTTAAATCGGACAGCGAAACATTAGCATATTATATGATACTTGGATTCTTCGCGCGGCGGCTGCGCTGTAATTAATAAAATGAATCATAAAAGCGCTATTAATGGTATCCTTAACTCGCTGTCGAGATGCCTGACAGTTAGACGGTTAATCGATATCGCACCGAATTTATCCTTGAACCTATTCACAATCGGATTTTACAGCGGGTTAATTGGAGTAGTTGGAGAGAGAATCTCCGCTCGAGAAACTCCGATTAAGCAGTAAACTACTCTCATTACGCCTTTCTGTCTCCTCGTCAGTCTCAGTAGGTGCTTCTTGCACGGCTTCATTTATCCAAACCGCGAATTGCGATCGTACTCCTCGGAAATAGACACGCAATTATAAAACAATTATCGTCAATTACTCCTAATTTGCCAGAATACACGTAGTCGCAGTAACAAAGGGACGATCATAAAATCAACTTTTACCGCGAATATCGCGAAAATAGTATTTCTAGGTGTATTCAAGATAAATTCGTAATCGTATATATTTCAGTTCACGCGACAAATTGTGCGTTTATTCTTGGCAGGCACGATTATGCAAACTCAGCTGAAACACGTCGCGGTTATTATTCTAAATCTAGCGCATATATAAATATTCAAATATACATTACGCACTGATATGTATCTACCAGTTTTCACAAGATTATCCCATGAATAAATTCTGAATTAGACCGTGAACATGTGTAATATACGACATATAAACATATGTTGCGATGGATGTATACGAATCTCTATTTGCATCGGTGAATTTTAGTCAATAAATATATATATATATATATATATATATATATATATATATATATATATATATATATATATATATATATATATATATATATATATATATATATATATATATATATATATATATATATATATATATATATATATATATATATATATATATATATATATATATATATATATATATATATTTATTGACTAAAATTCACCGATGCAAATAGAGATTCGTATACATCCATCGCAACATATGTTTATATGTCGTATATTACACATGTTCACGGTCTAATTCAGAATTTATTCATGGGATAATCTTATATATATATATATATATATGCATTGAGTTGCCATATACATGTTTTTAGTATTTGCATTGCTGATAAAGGCAATAAATTCGGATGTGTGGAAACGCGGAAATCGCTCAGCTATAACGACAAGCGCTGTGAAAACAAACGGTCAACGGAGTTTACGAAGCGTTACAAAAGAATCTGTTTCGGGAAAAGGTAAAGGAGAGATATCGCGAATTTGATGGCCGCGTATATTCGTCGTTCAATCTCGTCGATAGAAGCGACGTTCGCCGCAAGATCATAAAACGGACGGCCGGGTTCTTAAGCGACGCTTGATTGCCTCCCGTCCGTCGGGAAAGCAGATTGTCGGAAAATTGTGTTTTCAGTAACGGCTCGCCGTAAGTCTCTTCGAGATTTACGGGAGCGAGATCGGCGGACCTTAATAACTTTGGCGGGTACCTTATATACACGACCACTCGAGATTAACCGGTACGTAGCCGCTCAAATCTTTCGATTCTCTTCGAGAGTAACTTGCATCCGTATTGTATTATCTCTCCGTCCGTTATCGATTCAATAAGCTCCCGCGAAAGGAGACTAGGCGAGAGGTCGTTGAACCTTAAAAAAAAAGTATCGTTGCGAGAATAGTCGTTGCGTGCTCTTTGAGAGAATTCTGGTTATAAATCCATATTTTTATACGAACAATTCGTGACAGCAGAATCGAGATTTATTCGCGGCAAAGTGGTCTCGTTGATGCGAATGTCTCTACATTATTTAAATCACACGATGACGATGAATATTTAATACCGAAAGTCGCAACAACAGAGAACGGCAGATGCGCGGATATACGCGTGGAATTGTAAACGAGAGGCCTTGTCACGCGCGTTTGCCCTGGGTTAAATTTCTCGCATCTCTTTCCTTTAATAGTCAGAACGATATCTGAGAGTAGAATAGATAAAGCGGCTCATTCATCATTCCAAGCGGGAGACGTGCAAATTTCCTCGCTTTTCTTTTTCTCTCTTCCCTCTAATTCCCGCGCTCTCCTGCAGACACTCTCCACATTAGAGCAGCTATAGGCTATACGAACCCCAACTTCAAGGTTCAAATCAAACCGCGATGAAAAAAGGCGAGACTCTCTAAG